CCGTTGAACCTCAAAACTGCAAAAGTAATGACCGCAGTGAATGATAAGTACTTAGTTAAGATGGAAAAGGCACTAAATTTGTGGATGGAAATGTTTTGGGAAATTTGTCAGAAATTAAATTTTTGAGAGACAGATGACATTCACATATCTTTTATTACAGTATATTGTTATAATTATTCTGTAATCATTAGTTGTTGTTAATCTCCTACTGTGGCAATTTATAAATCAAACTTTATCTTAGGTTTGAAGACTATATACACACACACCGAGTGGCCATATTATTATGAACACCTGACGTTTGTAGGCAAATTAGCTGTCCTACTGTGGCAATTTATAAATCAACCTCTATCATAGTTATGAAGACTATATACACACACACACCGAGTGGCCAGATTATTATGAACACCTGATGTTTGTAGGCAAATTAGCTTAATTTTGTGCTGAAGTTGCCAGAGGGCCAGACCATTATAAATAGGGAAGCAGGTTGTTTACTACGACAGTAGAAGTGATTTTTTTCTGAAGATATGGGTAAACAACGTGATTTAACAGCATTTGAACGTGGGATATATATATACTGAGTGGCCAGATTATGATGACCACCCCATTGTTACTTCTTTGGGCCACCTTTTGCCTTCAATACTGTGGCGAGGCTTGAGTCATTAAAATTAGAGGAAAAAAATCTAGAAAGCCACAGCGGGACTGTGTTTAAGTAAATTAATCAATAATACATGAACTGAGTGATTAAAGAAATAATATCATAATATCATGTCAAGATAACAGGAATTTATTGATGTTTAAGCCAAACAGGAAAAAAAAAAAGAATGACTAGTGCTACCAAATCATGCCAGGAAAACATGCCCCAAACCATAACACTGCCCCCACCAGCTTGAAGGGTTGTACTCATGCATGTGGGGTGCATGCTTTCATGCTGTTTCTGCCAAATTCTCACTCTGCCATCTGCATGATGCAACTGGAAACATGATTCATCGGACCACATGACTTTTTTCCAATGCTCGACTGTCCAATCCTGTGTTCCTGTGTGAATTGGAGACATTTTATCTGGGTAACTGCAGACAGCAAAGGTGTTCGAACAGGCCTTTGGCTGTTTTGCTGATACTCGCTCCATGGTTCTGGTCACCAACAATCATCCCACATTCAAAGGCTGTTAAATCGCGTTGTTTACCCATATCTTCAGAAAAAAATCACTTCTACTGTCGTGATAAACAACCTGTTTCCCTATTTATAATGGTCTGGCCCTCTAGCAACTTCAGCGCGAAATTATGACTAATTTGCCTACAAACGTTAGGTGGTCATAATAATCTGGCCACTCAGTGTATATATGGTATTATACTATCTGAGGTTTCAGGTATCCATTGCGTGTCTTGGAACTACTCTCTGTAAATAAGGGGGAACTATTCTCTATAAAAAGTAAATGTTTTAATATATTGAATTTCAAAAACAATTCAGCCCTTGGCGTGGGTCTGGGTGGGAAGGAATCCAACCTAAATGAATAAGATGTGTTGAAAACATGGAGAATATATTCAACTTTTCTTAAAAATTGCTCTTTATAGAAAAGACCAGTGGCACAATATAGACTATAAGGATGTTATGGATATTCCTATTTAAAGAAATGCCACCAGTTTCTGTGACCTGCCCTATGCCAAAGTACTTGTCTTTTAGAGAAAGATTCATGGGGTGGATTCAAAATCTTTTTTTTTAAATTACTCATGTGGAGTAGCTTAAAGTACTATGACAGTATAAATTAAATGAATCTTGTGAGTCAGTAATAGAAAATATATGGTCAAATGGCATAATATATGACATTTAAGACATGCTGATTTTGCTGAAGATTTCTTTTTATAATATTTTCATTGCTGTTGGGAATTGAAATGTTCTGGTAAAGGAAATGGGAAATGTCCTTTACTATTCTTACAGGGCATAGGTATTTTAAAGAACACTACGTTCTTTGTGGGACTTATGGAATAATTTGTTCTCACTCAAAATTGAATATGTTATCAAAGTTTTATTTGCTTAGTAGTTTATCACTCAGTTTTATTTTTAGATGGATTGATGGATTAAATGAAACAAAACTGTGAGGGCAGAGATTTATATTTTTGCAAAAGCTATCCGATTTTCCTTAAAAGCAAGACAATTTGAAACAAATGTGGATATGTATTTTTAAACTGATAAGCAGTTAAAATACTTTATTGTACATGTTATCACATACTTATTTCCTTGGTAATTTTCCTGAAATACTTGGATTTTGTTACATCAAGTGGCTCCATTCACCTTTGATTCAGATGCTGCTCTCCTGGAAGACTGGAAGATAGAATTTAGTGAAAATTTACAAATGCATAATGAGTTCAAAGTGGTAGTAAGGATGTCAGGTAGATATCCATCATAATGAGGAGTTAATATCTGTATCTGCATTACATTCTAATTGATGGCTCTGTCTGGTATTTGAAAAGCGTTAAATTGCTGATGTACATGTGATGGAATGCCTATTGTCAGGCTAGAAATGAAAACTCTGCCTCGTCACTGCAGTTGTTTTCTGAGTGATTTGTAGAGAAGTGACTTTGAATGGTCATATTAGAGGTCAGAATTAGAGATCTCATATTTTAGTAGTAACTCCTATGTGTCAAGTCTTCCTTCAACATAAACTCTGTTCTGTAATTCAATTTTTGAAAAAGCTTTAAGAGAAAAATACTTGAGTCATTAAAATTAGAGGAAAAAATCTAGAAAGCCACAGAGAGACTGTGTTTAAGTAAATCAATAATACATGAACTGAGTGATTAAAGAAATAATATCATAATATCATGGCAAGATAACAGGAATTTATTGATGTTTAAGCCAAACAGGAAAAAAAAAGAATGACTAGTGCTAGGAAATTGCAGTATTTTATAATGTATGTTTAAATAAGTTGAATTGTGGAATATTCAAAAATTTACCACCAACTTTTCCATCTCACATTTTTATAAAACTGCAGTTACATTAAGATTAATATATATACTATTATATATGTATGTGTGTGAGTGTACATGAATGTCATGCAACCTCCTCCTTTTCTCTACAATATCTTGCAGAATTATATAATTTCTTCTGCATTATTGAACTAATTTTTATTTCTTTCCAGCAATCTTTGGCAGTCCTCCCTTCTGTAATACTAGAAATGTCCCTTCTGACCCATGCAGCATTCAATGGATGTGTTAGGTTCACTGTCTCAATTAGTTCTAATGACAACACTTTGAGATTTATATTATTATCACACACATTTCACAAAGGAATACCCTGTGTTGCAAAGACGTTAAACCTTTTGGCCAAGATCACCTTCCCTAGCTTTTCTCTAAATGTCTGGCTTGTGTGCTGCATCTTTAGCCACAGCATACTACTCTGGTCTTTTCAGGTGTTCCACACACTATGCATTCTCAGTATTCTGCATGCCTATAGATTTCCCTCTGCCAGGATGCCCTTCTCTCTTTTGTTACAAGTACGTTAGAGGTCACTTGGGAAAATCCTTTCTCAGCTTCTCTATGGAATCAATCACCCCTGATTCTCCCTTCCATTTTGAATATTTTGACTTATTTGTTTATGTATTTGTTTCTCTGGGTGTAGTGTTTCTTTCTTGAGTAATAGGGACCTGTCCCACTACCTGACATGCCTTAGATTTTCATCTTTGTTGACTCAACTCCAGGCAAGCAGAAATCCTAGTTTATAGGGTAGTAGATGAGAATCTAGCCAGGATTACAATGTTTATTTTGTAAAGTTTAATATTTAATTATATTTGGACTTTTTTAAACATTCAGGATATTTTAATTCATGAGCTCCTGCCAGCCAGGATTGGAGCTGTGTATACACATAATTCTGTGCATCATGCCACTCCCTTTTATAAAAACCTTGTTTGTATCTTTTTCATTAGAGTTTATTTGTCAACCACTGGCTATTAGGCAATTGGATAATCAGTTGTCAGGTGAGCTCTGTTCTTTATCCACAGTGGAGCACATAGAATAATCATAAAACATAGTGAGGGATCTTAGATTCCAGCTGGGATGACATACCTAATACACGGAAAATTTTGTTATAAATTCTCTTAATCTGCAACCATAACACACAAGTGGGTTACTGAATACAGACTGAAGACCACTTGTAGTTAATTAGCCTAGTTATCCTAATACCTCTCTGCAGGATACTACAAACTGTCATCCAAGACTGTGTAGGGAGGAAACCCTCCATCTGCCATTTCTGTAGCAAGGTTATGAAACCAAACTCTCCTAGGCTAGCAAAGGGTATTTGTTTGTTTGTTTTTTTGGGGGATAGGTGCCATCCCAGACTTTCATTCAAATTTCAATGAGTGAGGCCAATTCATGTCACTAACTGCATAACTCCTTGGAATATCATGGTCTTCTGTGGTAGCCTTAAATTTCTCTAATCCTTTTGATTACTCATGACTATGTGATGTACTGTATCTTGCTTCTTGTATTTCTATAGAGTTGCTATATAGGCAGAGCAATTTCATTTAATATTAACTTTGTCAATGTAAATCATTCAGTAGTCTTTTTTTTTCTTTCCCCTTCACCTACCAAATAGCAGTTTTATTGCTTCTGCCCTTGTTTTTTTTCTTAATAATGATTTTGAAAATGAGTAAGCATAAATATTTCCTTCATTGAATACATTACACTCAATTCAACTGTGCATTGTGACTTATTCTCTTGAGCTTCAAAGGTAAATTTGTGTGTGTGTGTGTGTTTGTATTTTGTGTTCTCATAAGTTTTTCTACCAAGTACCATATACTTTTATTTTTAATACAATATCTTCTTTTCCTATAGTAACATCAATAGCAAAACATGATAAACTTATATGTGATTTTTCCATGGGGGCAATGCATTTCTGTGGATAATCACTAAAATTTTATGGACACATAATACAGTTTATTGTTTTATTTTTACCATGGGGTTTTTATTTATTGTTTATTTTAAGAAGCAATATCTCCCTTGTTTTCACAGGTAAGAAGATGGCCTATCAAAAAGTCAATGCAGATCAAAGAGCTCCAGGACATTCACAGTACTTGGACAATGATGACCTTCAAGCCACTGCCCTTGACTTAGAGTGGGACATGGAAAAGGAACTGGAGGAGCCTGGTTTTGACCAGTTTCACCTAGATAGTGCAGAGAATCAGAACCTGGAGAGTTCAGAGACTGCAGACCTCAATCTTGATTCCATTCAACCAGCAACTTCACCCAAAGGCAGGTTTCAGCGACTTCAAGAAGAGTCTGACTATGCTACCCGCTATACAAGATCTGCACCAAAGAGCAACCACTGCACCTTTTGCCGCCTTTTAAAAATACTTTGTACAGCCACCATTTTGTTTATTTTTGGAATTTTGATAGGCTATTATGCACATAAAAATTGTCCTTCAAATGCTACATCTTCAGGAACACTTGATCATCAGTTATATCAAGAGATTCTCCAGACAATCCAAGCAGAAGATATTAAGAAGACTTTCAGGTAGGAAAAAAGGATGTTGGTGGGGATGCATTTTCTGGAAAGATGTTTTAGGAAGTACTGAACAGGTGATTTTGCCATGGTGTAAGATTAGCCTTGTAAGATGAGAGATATAACTTACTGGCACATTCTTCACAGAAGGGGGGGTCTACATTTTCAGACTTATGATATTGTAATATAAATTAATGATGCTGCTTTATTAATTGATAATAAGAATTGTGGGTACTATGAAGACTAACAGACTTGAGCTAGTGCATTTTTCCATCTTGGGAAGTCCAGGTATGCCAAATTGAGATGCAAAGACTGCTGGATGTACATGTAATAAAAACTAAGACGTTAACCATATGATTGAATTTTAATGACCCTGGAATAAAATAAACCTGCTTTTTTGGGCAGAAGTAACTGCCTCTTATGGTCAGGAGCACTGGTAGTATTTGGTCTTCTACATCCCTGAGCTTTCCAATGAGCACATTTTTATTGAAACACGTTGGGTTCAGGCAATTCCAAAAACTCATCTTCCTCTTTAAGGTAAGTTGCCATTTGACTTGTCTTGCCATAATGTGTTGATTATGGCTATGTTATCTCCATACTGGATCCCATCGTAGGAATTAGTTTTATTTAAATTGTAGAGATGGATTTTTCCCCTCGGTAAGGGGGAAACCCCTATTTTCATCAGACCAACTAATGGCAGCAAGAACCCTGGATTAATGGCTGCCCAATCCTGCCAAAGAGTCCAAAATCTTAGAACCCTACTTGTTAGCATCTACTGTATTGTTATGATCCTTCTTAAACTGACCTAGAATGAGGAACTCTCTGTTTCAGCTATCTAGAAATAAAACAATAATTTTCTCTAAGTTTAATTAAATCTGTGCTCACTTGCCCTACTTTAATATTCTTTGGCATAAGAAAGTAAACAGTCCTGCACTAACCGGTTTGGCTCAGTGGATAGAGTATCAGCCTGTGGACAGAATGGTCCCAGGTTCGATGCTGGTCAAGGGCATGTACCTTGGTTGCAGGCTCGATCCCCAGTGGGGGTTGTGCAGGAGGCAGCTGATCGACGTTTCTCTCTCATCGATGTTTCTAACTCTCTATCCCTCTCCCTTTCTCTCTGTAAAAATCAATAAAATATATATTTTTTTAAAAAGAAAGTAAACAGTCCTGTTGCTTCTCTCCCCTATTCTTTGAACTCAGACACTAGATTTGTTTGCTTGTTATAGTATCATTGTCTATCCTGTGCTCACAGCATCTTTATTCTTCTCACCGCTCCCTTTCCACATCTATCACTCAAGTTTACTTCCTTCTATTCAGGAACCATGATACCCCTTTTACCAAGGAGTAAAAGTTCCTGTTCAAGAAAGCTGACAACTGCATGTTCTCTCTGGTCTTAATGAGAGAAAAGCCAGCCTAAAGAAAAGCTAGCTGTGGAGTTCATGGGAGACCCATGGACTGCTTTATGGTTATGAGAACACTAGAAAGACTCCTTTAAATAAGTGATTTTTCTTTCCTCAGATACCACAGCAATATATTTTTGCTGTTATCTTTTTGTGCAGATGCAAGTCTTGATGGTGATGCCATTGGCAACTGTTCTCCAGTCTCCAGCTATACTTTGTCACCATTTCTGTTCTTCCTCTGCCTTATATATTTATTTTTTTATCTCTGTCTTGTTTTCCCTTCATATTTTTTATTTCTCTTTGATTTCAGTAATAAAGGGATTGAGAGCAGGAAGGTCAGGATAAATGAAGAGGGCAATGGAACAACTGGCATTTTAATAGGAGAAAAAGATGTAAATAGATAGCAAAACTGTACATAATTTGATATACGCAAATGATAACAGAATGAATTTAACAGTAATGGAGTGATGGTTCCTATAGGAAGTTTTATCTATTCTATTATTGATCTATTCAGATAACAAGTGAACATTGTCATAAATTTAATCACAAAAGAAATACATAGGATAAGATTTATTTAATTATGCATAGTATTTTCTTGCTCTACATTTTAGATACAGCAACTCCTTCACTTAGGATTTCTCAGTGTTATGCAGAATGACATTAATTCTCTCAACTGACTGGATCAACTCACTGGTGAGAAGTTACACCCTTTCGATCCTTAAGCATTTGGTCAGAGCCATAGTAGCACCCACTAATAGGATGAATGATGATTAATTATAGAAGGATCTTTAAATATAATGACCTTCTCAATCCTGACATCCTATGTAATAAAGAGGTGATATGCAAATTGGATGTCACACCCTTGCAAAAGATGGCCACCCCCATGTGGACACAAGATGGCCACCACAAGATGGCTGGCAGGGGAGGTCAGTTGGAGGCAATTGGGTCAGCAGGGGAGGGAAGTTGGGGGCAATCGGGCCAGCAGGGGAGCAGGTAGGCATCGATCAGGCTGACAAGGGAGTGGTTAGGGCAGTGGTTCTCAACCTTCTGGCCCTTTAAATACAGTTCCTCATGTTGTGACCCAACCATAAAATTATTTTCATTGCTACTTCATAACTGTAATGTTGCTACTGTTATGAATCATAATGTAAATATCTGATATGCAGGATGGTCTTA